ATAATCACGTGTTGTTGGATCAGCAAATCTTCGCCCTGTCGCCGAAAATCAAAAGCGGGGCATACGTTCGGTGAATCAATTGGATAGTCCATGTTTGAATTTCTTAGTCAAGAACTTGCGAAACCCTAACGTACCCTTCGTAGGAGCATTTTCACCATACAGTATCCTCTTGTCACGTCAAAATGGAGGTCTTTTTCTCCGAACCGATTCTCATAACCCATTCACTTCTTCTGATTAAACATTTGTAGTCTGTTATTTGTCCTTTGACCTGCCCACCAAACACATCTTCTCGTCTTTCCCTGAACTACATATGCCGCTCAAAAACACGCGATTTCTTCATGTCATCATTTACATATTTACATTCACATAAGGATGTGCGATGTGGTGTTATGGATAACGAGGCGGTATAAGAAATCAGATAGCCGACTTCCAGTTCCGGTCAGATTTGTTACATTCATTTAGGCGCTAATGCCCATGAGAAAGATATAAATCCATTTCTTTAATACCCAGGTATGGGTTGAATAACAAGACAGACTGAGCAATATAGCCTTGGTTGGCAACCAGTCTACCGTAGAAAGAAACGACAGACTACTGCGGAAAAATCTTCTGTCTAGTCAGTCATGAATCGAAAAAGACATGATCACCCAAGTATTTATCACGTATGACACTGACAGGACGACTATTCTCCTTATCTTTGCTGATCACAACGTTTCGGCCATTGTGCCCTCTGACCTTCATCAGGTGTATGTCGATCTGGGTAACCTACAGGGAATTTCGAACTGAACCCTTTATTTAATCTACGGAAGCAAAATGTTCTCGTTCCACTGCCCATGTCTATGGATATCTTGTCTAGTTCTTATTTAGTACTGATCTGTTATTGCTCACCACGTTTCCGTAGACATTGCTTGGCCCAGAGGTTGCAATATCACCAAATTCAGGAAGCAACGTTTTGGGACAAATGCATGAGAAAACTCATTGGCATCTTCTAATGGAAACATGAAGCCAATAAGTTTGTGCGGAAAAGAGTTGAAAGTTTTGCGGACCACCAGGAACCTCTTCTCGCCATTGTCAAACGGAGAAAAACGGCGTGGTTTGGACACATTACAAGGCACGAGGACCTGTGCAAGACCATCATGTAAGCCACCGTTGAAGGTGGACGTAGGAGAGGACGCCAACGCAAAAACTGTTTGGACAATGTCAAACTATGGACAAGTATGATTGTACCAGAATTGCTGATGGCTGCCGTTGATAGACCGTTGTGGAGATTTAATATGGCTTTCGCATTCGCCCCCCACCACGACAACAAAAGTCAAGGGGGTGATAAGGATAATGATGATTCCAGAATCTCAGACAGAAATTCTTCATAGCATATTTACAATAAGCCATTCTTTGACTTTGTTTCCTCCAATCTTATGGCATGAACACATACAACTTTCCCTACTGCTTGACAACGGATGACTCACTTGGGCTGCGTCTCAAGAAAGTGGAAGTTGAAACATGCTCGAACGTATTCAGTAAGACATCTTTGCCCAACTCATTATCACAAAAACACGCTGCAGTCAATACTTCAATCTTAACCTCTTCAAGTCAAAGGTCAATCGTTATCTATCCCCTTTATACTAATAATCTTTACTTCCTGTCACATCGTCTGTCATCAAAACCATTTTAACAGTAACCCTCTAATGACCTTCTATTTTCTTATTTCCAGATCCACCATCATGAACTCAGTACCCGTTGCCGCACTGATGTTGCTCCTGCTCCCTTGCTGTGTATTTATATCCTGCCACGCAGACCAATCCAGTGATTCCGACCTCATGACTCGTTTACCGTTACTCGTCGAACGGATCCGTGCTCTACAACAACCAGAGAGGCTCAGCCCAGCCGAGTTGGGTTCGTTTTATCGCACGTACAAGGCCATCAAAGTGGTACCCCGACGCGACCGCGACATTGAATTCGTAAAAAGACCAGCCAGCGCTCACCCAAAGATGTCCTTCAACGGAGACCTCTTGGCACTGGCTGAAATGATGAAGTACCATCAAATGCAGCAGAACGGCATGAACAATCGATGGCTTAATAGATTGCATAATCTAGGCAAATAAGTATTTTGTGTCCGGATGCTGTTTATTTATTACCTTTTTTGTTTTCTACGAACGTTCCAAATCTAGCAAGTTATTTGTGAACATTTCAAAACAGACAAAGCCTTGCGCAAACGTTTGCTGTACCGATCCACGTCAGGCCATCAGAGAATAAATATTGTTTTTATTAAGATGCACTTCTGCTGTTTTATATTCATTTTTGTTACATTCTAAATCTCTTCGCTTTGTCGGGAAAACTTATGTAAAACCTGGGTGAACGTACACTCCCCAGTAGTTTTTCAGCCTCTAAGCTTCACCGACCTCAGTGTTTCAAGTCCATCCTGCGTTGGTGTGAATGGAATATTAAACCTGTGTGAACGTACACTCACTGGTAGTCTTTCAGCCTCTAAGCTTCACCCACCGCAGTGTTTTGATTCCGACCCGCGTCGGTGTGAATGAAATATTAAAACTACAAAGAAGTGTGCGTTCACAGAGGTTTAATATTCCATTCACACCGACGCAGTTCGGAGTCAAAACACTGCTATGGCTATATGCTATTTTTTTAGTGATATTATAACATATTTATATAATAATTTTCGAATAAATAATTGTATATATATATATATATATATATATATATATATATATATATATATAATAATAACAATAATAATAAAATATACATATTATACATATATATTAATAATAAATATACATTTCTCCTCACTGCACAATGCAATTGTCGAATGCCGTCTGAAAATTGACCGTTGCATAATTTAAACACACACACACACACACACACATATATATATATATATATGCCGTACTATAATGATAGTTGAGCAGTTCATTTCAATTAGGGCGGGGCAGGGTAGCATCAGCACTCAATGTGCAATATTTTATATATGCAAGGTGTATCAAAAATATTTTACAAATTTTAGGAGCAAGTTCCTGACACCAAAACAAGGTAAAATGTCCATATAAACATGTGTCCAAAAGGGCATTTTGTACCTCAACACAGCAACTTATAACAAATGTTCAATATGTCCTCCACTTGCTTCTACACACGCATGAACCCGTCGGATCATTGACTGGTGTCTAGTGGTTTCGCAGGCCCCTATTACACGTTGATGAAGAGTCTCTGCATCATTAATATCTGCTGCATAAACCGATTGTTTTAGGTGGCCCCACAGATAAAATTTTTCAGGGTAGATGTCAGCCAGTGAATCGCGAACAATATGATTAAAATGTGCCAAATGTGCAATCTGTCATACATAAACTACATGCGTTATCGTATTAGCCTGGGGACATCCTCTAGAAGGTCTTGAAGTGTGTTCGAAATAATACCCCTGTAGACATCTCCTTTAAGACGTGCCGGGAAAACATATGGACCTACCAGTTAGTAACCTACATTTCCAGCCCACAAATTAATCGTAAGTTGATGTTGGTCTAGCCTGTATTGTACCATGGGGATTCCGATCCGCCCACAAATAACAAATTGTGTAAATTTGTTATTCCATCTCTTCAAAATGTTGCATCTTCTGTAAACAAGACTGAAGAGAAAAACAACCGATCGGCAGTTAGTGCAATAAACCATCAGCAAAAGTTCTCCCATGATGAGTAATTAGAGTCCGAAAGACCCAGCACACGTTGCAAATGATACGGATACAGGAGCTGCTCTTGAAGTACCCTCCATGTGTTACATGAATCATTCATACAAAAAGTAGATTAGCAAAGTTAATGATATAAAATGGCGAAAATTCTTCGCAAACAAAATTTTAAAGTTGCATTGACCTACGAAGCACTCGATGAATGTTATGATCCTTGTTTTTAATAACTACAAGTTGTATAAGGTCTTTTTTTTAATTCTGCTAGTACTTTCAGCTGTACATACAGCCATCCTCAGGCATGGAAATTATTTTGTTTTTAGTAAATTCAAGTAGTAGCGGAGACGAAAGATTAAATGCGAATCAAAATATGTTTTTTTAGAAATGTGTTATTGATAACGGATAAAAACTTTTGGAGCGTGCAGTCGCAACGCTAAGGTGGAATTTTTTTTTTAAATTTAAGAGAGTGCGTTTTTTTTACTAATATGGTAATTTGAGAATTTTTTTGTTGTAGGAGTTTATCAGTCAATGTGACATGAACTAAATTGTTCAATAAATAGAGTAATGTCTCAGCTGTTATCCCGAAAATTTGCACATCGGATCAGTTCTTTTAAATCAAATATGTGGTGCAGTTCAATTTATATTACAATGAATCATTCATACAAAAAATTGATTAGTAAAATTAATGATATAAAGTGGCGAAAACTCTTCGCAAACAAAATTTTAAAGTTGCATTAACCTACAAACCACTCGATGAATGTTACGATCCTTGTTTTTAATAAATAATAATATATATATATATATATATATATATATATATATTTCAAGAGGATAAACTCCAGGTAGAGCTCAATGTACAATACAGGGCAAGAATATAATATAAAAGACTCAAACACTAATATTCCATAGTTATAATTTATTACATTGGAATCGTAGTCACGATCCAATTCATCAGACCTACAAATTAAAAAAAAAAAACTTTATATATATATATATATATATATATATATATATATATATATATATATATTTTGATTTTACTTATCATTGTTTTTGCTTCACTGTCTTGAATTGCAAACTTTATTTTTCTTCCAAATCTAATGCTCAAATCAAGTGAATAAAATTTCATTCTTATGACGCCAGAAACTCGAAACAGTAATGAAGAATAAATTTGTTTGCATGTTTCACTGAATTCGAAGAAATAGAGCCACAAATAAATAACATTTTCTCAATTTTGTGATTTAAATAATCCAACAATTAAATTTCAACGCCATGTTTGCAATTACATGACGATATTTTGAGTAAATAATTATCACCGATGAAAAACAATTACGATAGAAATGTCCAATGTCCTCCCAACCTCTTTCTCTTTCTCTCTCTATTTCTCTCTTTCTCTATCTACCTCTTTCTCTGTTTCTCTCTCTCTCTCTCTCTCTTTCTATCTTTCTGTCTCACTCTCTCTTTCTGTCTTTCTCTCTCTTTCTCTTTCTTTCTCTTTTTCTTTCTCTCTTTCTCTTTTTATCTCTTTCTCTCTCTTTCTATCTTTCTGTCTTTCTCTGTCTCTTTCTCTCTCTCTCTCTCTCTCTTTCTATCTTTCTGTCTTTCTCTCTCTTTCTTTCTCTCTCTTTCTTTCTCTCTCTTTCTTTCTCTCTTTCTCTCACTTTCTTTCTCTCTCTTTCTATCTTTCTGTCCTTCTCTCTCTCTCTCTTTCTCTCTCTCTCTTTTTCTGTGTGTTCTTACCTTCTTTCCTGAATCAATAATGTCTTACGTTGATATCACTTTGAAATATCGGTTCTAGTATAATCCCTGTGGTTAAGCAATGTCGAGCCTGATCAGTACCTTGATTGGTGACCGCTTAAGAATACCAAGTTCAGCGTGCTTGGATATGCGAGTGGTGTAATGGAAAACAGTTCGGAATTGTTAATCGGTGGGTCAAATTGCAATTGAAGTCCTGTTCGTTCCCTTTTGCATAAATACAATTGAGAAAGGCATGAATCCATCACTTCTCTCACGAGCTATGGGTTAACCAGTAGGTCTTGTATCAGTGAATCCTTATTGTCTCAAAAATTTCTTACTGTCTAAAAATAAATAACCTGTAGAAGGTTGATGAACCGTAAAAAAATCAATTAATATTCTTCTTCACTTATTTGTTTGATGATCTTAGCCCTTTTTTTCAATATTCATTCGTTATTTATTATTAGTTTTTGTTTTATTTAATTCAGTCAGTTATGTGCCATGCGTGATACACGCTTAGGCGATCATGTATCTTTCGATACATGACTGGCGAGGCAGATTTTTTTCCCACAGTAGGTTGCCAGTTCTTTCTGCGGTAGACCAGTTTCCATCCAAGGCTATAGAACCCGGTCTGTCCTGCTATTTACCCATAGCTGGGGAAAGAATTCATACTTTTTCCAAGGGTATTAACACGTAAGTGAATGCAATGGATTCGACTGGAATTCGAACTCGGCTCTCCGATTCCTCAATCCGAGCCGCTATCTATTACTAATTACTATTTTTATTTGTTTTTTCCCTTTACATGATACAATGCAATTCTTGCTTTCAATTTTTTATTTCTCTTATCTCTAATTTCTTATCGTCGTTTGCACTAATTATGTTTCGATTTTTCCTGCTTTCTTTCTTTTTTTAACTTCCTTTACTTCTCTTATTCTTTCTTTTTTTTTGTTTACTTTTTCTTTGCTTATTTCTCATTCTTTTCTTTTTCTTTTCCTTTCTTTTTCTCATGTTTATTCTCATTCGTATATTCTCATTCGTTTATTCTCATTCGTTTATTCTCGCTAATTTCTTTGTACGTTTTTCTTAATTCTTTGTTTATTTTTGGCTCGCATTCTTTTTTTTTTTTTTTTTCATTTTTCTTTCTCTTGTTTTTTTCTTTTTCCTTTATCTTTTTAAACGTTTTTCTCCTTCTTTACATTTTGTTTTTCTCTTAGATTTCTTTCGTTGATTCTCACTACGTTTTATAATTTTCTTTTTCTTTTTTCCTTCTTTCTTTTTTCTTTTTTATTTATATTTTCTTTTCTTTTTTTTTTTTTTTCCTTTTTTTTTTTTCTTTCCTTATACAAATATTGCCTCTTTTTTTTAATTTTATTTTTTTTTTTTCCATTTCTTTTTATTTAAATTCATCCAAAATAAAAAATATTGTTCGAACACAAAATTTGTTTTTTTCATAAAAAACAAATCAAAGTAATTTTTTCTTGTTTTTTTTTATGAAAAATGCATAAATGAAGGATTTCTGTCTTTTTATACTATTATATTATATTATATTATATATTTTTTCATTATTTATTATTATATATTTTTTATCTTAAGTTCTTTTTTTTTTTTTATGAGTTCAATATCCTTCAAATCTTCCAGTCTTGAAATTTGCTCTTTTCTTCTTTTTTTTTTTTTTTTTTTTTTTTTTCATTTCATTAAATTTCTTCATTTTTAAATCAGTTGTCTTAATTGTCAATTTATTTCATTTGTTTTTATTTTCATTTGCATGATTATCAACAATTTGATTCAATTTTCACTCTGTTTTCTCATTCGGATGAACTTCAACAATTTTAGTAATATTTTCTTTTTACAATCTTCATTTTGTTCATTCAAAATATTTTTATTTTCTAATCCCGACGTCTTTCTTCATTTCTTTCTACTACTCTTTCGTTCCGTTTTTTTTTTTTTTTTTTTTTTTCTTCATTTCTTTCTTTTTTTCATTCTTATCATCATCTCTCTTTAATTTCTTTACTTTCTTCGTATTTCGTTTCTTTAGAAGTTTTTCCATTTCTTCATAGATTTCTTTTTCTTTATTTCTTTTTCCTTTTCTTTATTTTTTTCTTTGATTTCTTGGCTTTTCTTTTTCTTTTTTATTTCTTTATTTTATTCGTTCTTCCTTTATTTCTTATCATCTCTACTTTTTTTCTCTCTATTTATTACTTCCTTCTTTCTTCTTTCCGTTCTTTTCTCTCTTCTGATCATTTTCCCATTTTTTTCATAATTTGTTTCATTCTTATTCGTTTTTTTTCTTTTTTCTGTCTTTAAATTCTTTTTCATTTTAATTTAAAATATATATATATATTATAATATTTAATAAATCTAAATAATATTTTCAATATATTGCATAAAATTTACAACTTTTTTTTTAAAGGAAACTAAAAAAAATGATGCAAACAAATATCCTGATCCAACGACTGACAAAGGATCTTTCAACTTTTTTGGAACTTTTTTGGACTTTTTTTTTATTTATTTTTATATTTTGATTTCGAATAAAAAACGATCAGACATAGTGATGATCAAATATTTATTTAAAAAAAAAAAAAACCCAACGTTTTTGAATTTTTCTATGTTAGTCTTAGGCTTTTTAAACAAAATTTTTTTGGCCTATTTTTTTATATAAAAATTTAAAAAAAATGTGAAAAACTGCTATGTAAATCAAACTGTAAAATATTATTTGTTTTTCTGAGTGTGATATAAATTTAGTCGGAAAGATTTTCAAAAACGAGGATGTTTTTTATAAATGGAAATAAAAAAAGGACACTTATTACATAGAATCATTGTTCAAAATTCGGAATCTTTTTGGACGCAAAAAATGAAATTTTAACATTTTTTTTGGATTTTTTTTGAATAAATTCACCAGACATCTTTTCAAAAATATCTTTGAATTTTAAAATAACATGCTTTAATATAAATTTGTTTTTTTATGATCAACTTTATCTAAGAAGTCATGCAAAAAAAATTAATTGCAATACAGGATAGTAAATATTTAACTAACATTGCTTATTTTAAAACTATATAAAAAAATTTAAAATGTTGGAATATTGATCAACCCAAACTTATATTAATATGGCATATAAATACTAGAAACAGATAGTAATATATAACATTGATCAAAACTATATTTAATGCTAAGTTGTGGATTAGAAATTTCGTCCAATAATCCTAAATACACTGAACATATAAAAAGAATTTATTTTCATTTAATTTTCATTTTGTTTTCCATGCATTTCTTTTTAATAAATAATAAAATTGATGGCAATATATATATATTGATCCTCAAAATACTCAGGAGGATGCTGGTAATATTAGTAGTAATATTGTATTTGCGTAATTGTGGATAACTATGTTTTTTGTTTGATATTATAAAATTAAATGAAATATTTTTTTTTTTTTAATTGCATTTTTATAAGAATTTGTCGTTTTTTAAAAAAAATTTTGTCTGTGTTTTGAAAAAAATATGTCTGTGTTTTTTTTTTTATTTCATGTGGAATTTTAAAAAAAAAAGTTTTATTTATAGATAATTACGAAATGTTGTATATTATCAGTTGTATATCTCCAGGAAAAAAAGAATTGAATGCGGATGAACGAGATTGTTTGTCGCAATTGTCTATTTCTTTTCTCATCCGTTGTCTTGAACGTTTAACGTAAATTATGAGATATATTGATTTCAAATTTCAAAATTATAACTGATCGACATATTTTATAAATGAATATTTATATCAATCATCTTTTAAATTAATTTTTGATTCCCCCTTATTTTTTTTGTTTTGTTTTAACTTAAAAGATTTGTTCGAAAAAAATGAAATGAATTCTAAATTTTCTTTTTTTCTGTTACTCATTTCTGTCCAAACTGTATTTTCATTTATTTTTTTTGGGTTTTTCATTATCACATTTCCTTTCAAAATACCCTTATACCAACCAATTTGTTCTGTGAAATTCCCATTTACGGAACATTCATTATCTATCCAAGGAATTCAACTGTTCGCGGAATATTTTTTTTTAAAATTGTTCGTTGAATTTATATATTCATTCAAATTTTATTTTGAACAGTTTTTCGTTTATTTAAAATAAATTTTTATTTTTTGTATTTTTTTCCAATTTACCGTTCGCAAAATATTCAATTAAAATTGTACTAGTTCGAATTTTTCGCCAATTTTTATTTAAAATTGGCGAAGTTTTCATTTTTAACAGTTACATTTTATTCAGTCCAAACGAACAGGTCATTTATTAAAAAAAAAGTTTTTAAAAATTTTTTTTCTATTTCAATTTCATTCTTTAATTTTATCACTTGTAAAATCGCGATGTTTCATTTAAACCTTTTCGTCCTGTCGCCTTGTTTTTTCATTTTTTAAACGAACTTCATTTTTTAAAATCAAATTCAATCTTCGCGCAGTTTTTTATTTAAATTTAAAATTCGCGATGTACCCAAAGTTCCAAATCAAATAAATTCATTTTTTTTTTGCTCGCAATTGGTTGCATTTACGGACCGTTCGTATTTATATATATTTTTTTCATTTTATTTTTTATTTTTTTTTAAAATTGACATTTTCGCGATGTATCGCCTTTCTTATTTCATTTAAAATCTGACGTTTTTTTTTAAAGTATTTTATCCATTTTTTTCTATTTGTCCGCGGAGTTATTTAAAAAAATTTTCGTTTTTTCTATTCTAGGAAAAATTTTTTTTAAAAATAAAAAAAAATAAATTTATAAATTTTAAAAATGTCAAGAAACATATTAAATTTTGAATATTTAAATTATTTTACGTTAAAAACAAGTCATATATAATCTTATAAAAGTCGACGTTGAGACGACTCCAAAATCATTTCTTTTGAAAAGAAAGTTTTAATTTTTTTTTTTTTTTCAAAAATCATTTTTAATGGTTTCAAAATTTGAAAGATAAATTCATATTTTTTTAATATTCTAAACATTAAAATATTCTGATGAGTTTGTTTACATAATATTTTTTTATATTAATTTTGCCATAATTCTATTTTTTTTTTAATCAAAACGAAAATTTTCAAAAAAATATTCTTTTCAAATATATTCTTTATATCTAAATAAATATATATATATATATATTTATATATATACAGGGTTCGATGGATAAATTGTCGTCTAAATTACGCAAAAATGAAAATAACACTGACATCTCATTTTAACAGATATATTTACCAAAATTACACAAAAATATCTTGAAATACTAAAGAGTAAATTTATTCAATAAAATCGCCATTGGCTTCAACCACGGCCTCCAGACGACTTTGGAATCTCCTGCAACTCTTCTGGACGGTCTCCTTGTTTAAGTTGGTGAATGCTGCCATAATCCTTGCCTTCAGTTCATCTTTTGGTGTTACAAGGAGTTTTGTTGGTCTCTCGCTCAACTGCACCCCACACATAATAATCAAGGGGGTTGCAGTCTGGGGAGTTAGGTGGCCAGATGTAAGGGGTGATGTGGTCGCAGAAATTGTCTGACAGCCATGACTGGGTTCTCCTGCTTGTGTGGCATGGTGCAGAGTCCTGTTGCCAGACATAGGGTCTTCCAGCAGCCACCCTCTTGACCCAGAGCAGCACTACCTCCTCAAGGCACTTGATGTAGGCCTCCGTGTTGAGTCTGAGGCCCTCACCAACAAATTCAGGAGTTCTTTTCTTATCAGAACGATCAGAGTGAGTTTTCCAAGCTGCCGTACCTTCGTAATCACCATTAGACTCATCCAACTCTTTCCGAATCCTCTGCACTGTCCTCAGATTGACACCCAAACACTCTGAAATGTTCGTATTGGAGCTTCCGGCGCGAATGCCAAACAGTACAGCATGCCGTTTCCAAATTTCTGGCGGAGTGAATTGCGTCATGGTGCTTTTTTTCCTCACAGACGGTGCCCAACTGACCCTACTATACTGTGCAGTCGACAAAATAAAAAATAAACAACGCGCATGCACGAAATAAAAAAAATAAAAATGGCGACAATTTACCCATCACACCCTGTAATATATATATATATATATATAAATATATACTATCATTTATTTATTTTTTTTTTGGGTTGATATTTCTTTTTTTTAATAGTTCTTTATTTTTTCAAATTTTGTAGGTTCAATCCATTTTTTAATTTTATTCAATCATTTTGAATTATTAAAAAAGTTTGAATCTATAATTTTAAATTTCCTCTTATGGAAATTAAATTCTTTTTAATGTTGATTTAATAATAAATTTTTCTTCTTTTTTTATCTCATATATATACCTTATATAGAATAATTTAAAATTTTATTTTTATATATAACGTCGTTGAAAATTTTTTAGTTTCAGACAATTTTATAAATCTTTTTTAAAATAAAATTATTTAAAATATTATATTTATAATATATCATAATCCGAATAAAATTATTATAAATGAATAGAGTACAAAATAGTGGTTTATTTTTTATAATAATATATATTTTTTTAAATAGCGTTTAGTTCCATTAATTCCCATATATTTTTTTTCTTTGTCATGTCTAAAAATCTGATCTTATTTTAAAATTTTTTTTTTTAAAATTTTTCATTCAATTTAACTTTCAAATTAATTCAAATTTATTCTAATTAAAATGTTAAAATTTGGGCTCTATAACCTTTATTGTGCAAATATCTTTTAAATAAAATTATTTCTTTTTAATTTAATTTAGAAACCTTGCAAATTTAATCATAAATTTTCTTTATATTTAGTTCTTCAAAAATTTGTTTATTTTTTGTGTTAATCAGAAATAATAGAATCTAACTTAAAAACAAAAATTAATATTAGTTCTGTTGATTCTAAGATTTTGTCCTTTTCTAAATTTTCTGTAAGGCTTATAATTAAAGTGTTCGAATCAATAAAAGTTGTCCTGTAAAATCCATTGGACTGGGGGAATTATTTCAAATAACTTAAAATAAATTTTAAAAACAAAAATTAAATGATTTATTACTAAGTAAAAAAAATTAAAAAAATCATATTTGAAAATGATAAGTTTCATTAATCTTATTTAATTCAAAACTAATTTAATTAAATTTTTCATCCTACTTTGAAAATAATATAATATATATAAATAAATTGTGTATATTTAGTTTTTATTGTATATATGACTGTGACAGACAAAAAAAAGATGATTTTATTATTGATTTTCTATTAAATGTTAAATTTTAAAATATTTTAAAAAAATTGAAATTGAATAAATTCAATTCTTTCTATTTTTTTAATATTTTTTTTTTATTTTTTTTATATATAATTGGCATTTTATAAATTTTTTTGAAT